TGACATTTAACTTGCAAAGGTGTTACTAAACCCCTAGTCTTTTAACCAAAATGACTGAATAAAAAGTAATGATTTTGTTTTCAACTCTTTTCACCTGAGGATTTATCTCCCTGGGGTGCACACACAGGTGCTGTGAAAAGCTGCATTAGTTAGAATTGTTCTAGAAGGGTGAGGGAGGGGGTAGCTTTTTCTCTGAACAATTTTCACAGAGAACAACATCTGACAAACACCTATGTGAAGGAAGTGGAACAGTGCCTGTTCCCCAAAAGTTGAAATGTAATATTTTATTTTTTTTTTTAATATTGCCCTTTTCCATCAGACATAGGTGAGGTTTGTTAGAGGGCAGCATCTCCCCCAGGGTCACTGTGGCTAAAGAGTATCTTCCCAAACCTCTTCTGTGACCACACAGTTCATGCAGTTCCATCCCCTATCCCCAACAGACCAGGAATTTCCCCACTCCAGGTATGGTTTGAAAGACAAACCCCTTGTTATGACTAATTCAAACCCTCCTCCCATTCCCATTAAAATGACAGCATGTAAATAACCATCTTAACCATGACTACAGGAGCAACTAACTGAAGAGCTTAAAGCCCTAAAAAACATTGACCATCATCAATACTCCTTGTTTTCATGTGTAAATACATACTTTTAAGCCACCTAGTATACTCTCTAGATGCCAGGAAGTTATTTTAAAACACACTGTGAAGTAGGAATTATTAAGAAGGTTGAAGAAAACATTGGTTTTTTAAGATTAGACCCTTTGTTTCAACCAGAACTAATGAAAACTTTAGCAGATACAACAATTTTCAAGTGGGTTTATATTTTCTTGCGTTTCTTCTGCGTTTCCTCTTCTCGGAGATGCATTGCACATTTTTGCAACAAGCCACAGGCTCTTGAAAAGGCAGATACACAAACGTTGAGAAATACAATCAGACTTTGCAGTGCATTGAGATAAAAGCTCTTTGGAACATTACCCAGAACATTGCAAAAGTACAGTATAATCATGATCAGAGTTCTAACATTTGCAATGAGAATTTTGATTTACAAATAGATTTCTCATACAATGTGGTCATTTGATGTGGATGACAGTGTGTGAGTTCACCATTAACTACTGCAGCTGTACCTGAGCAGGCCATGGATGGGCAACAGGGTGAAGCACTTGGGAAAGACTCAAACTTCAAAACCACAGAAAAATCTTTCAAAACAGAATCTTTCAAAAACTCCACTGTGTGTAAGCACTGAGCAGCGTTTAATCCGAGGACACGGTGGGAGAATCCACGTGCAGAAGTAAGAGAACCAAAAAGCACAGCACAAATGTGGGTGTGAGCTGGGCTGCCGTGGCCAGAACCGAACTCCACACAAACAGAAATGTTAGTGAAACAAACCAAAATGGTTACTTAAAAAATGGTTGCGGTTTGAGGGTTTTTTTCCACATGGATATGTTTAATGAACATGGAACCTCCACTCTTCACTTTTGCCAAGACAGGACAGTGCTTAAACCATTTCCTCTGAAACCTAGTTTGGTCAGAAAATATGCAACTGTTTCAATATCTTCCCTCAGCATTTTATCATCTCTCACAGACAGGATTATGTTAACCAGAAGCTTTACAAAGGCAACAAATGCAGAGTCTGCCTTCACCGTTACAAACACTTATGGACAATATTACTGAGAAGGAAATTTCAAGAGCACTTTAATATACAGAATGAGTGGGATAGATGTGTGGGGCTTCTTTTAAAGAGACAGCCTTTATTTAAAGTACTTTGCTTTTTAGATCTTGTAAAGTAAACATTACAATACTTTTTTTTTTCACAAATATATTAAAATTGTTTAAATTTAAAAGGCAATTCCACAGACTGATGGATATTTTTAAAGAAAAAAAATCTAACAGAAATAGGCAGCTCAACTAAAACTAGATTTTAAACATTCTGTTTTGTCATTCCATCTTAAAAAAAAAAAAAAAAAAGAAAAAAAGGAAAAAGACATGTTTCCACTCAAACTTCCTTTACAGCAATAAGGCAACTCCTGGAGATTTGAATGAACTCCTTGGAGATTACAGATACTGTAACTGGCTGCTCCTCATGCTTTATAACACCCAAAGGTGCAACTATCCATTAATCACAATCACATCTGTGCATTAAAATATAAAACTTAAATTACAGATTTTAAAAATATTACTAATAGACTTCCCTATCATAAAATGTTTTACATTTACAGTACTTGAACTATTTCAGTTCTGGGTTGATGAGGTTTAAGCAATTTACCACTGCAAGAGTTAGACTCTGGAGCTCACAAACAGCACAACCCAACCAGGGGCAGCAATAGTCGGTAGAGTCATAGTGCAAATCAAAATAAGGAGTGCAGAATTGCACTAGTTGTTTACATTTCTAAAATATAAATGAACAAGACGAGCTCTTATATTGTACATGCAATAAATTACAGTAAGCATATGGCAATGGGGCTGGGGCATTCTACAAGTGTAGCTGGTGTACCAGAGCTGAAGCTTGTGAAAGATAGGACTCAGTAAACAAAACATTTCAAAGCTCTGTTGTCACAGCACTTGAACTCTGCTTTCATGCTTTGTACTTCTGCTTCCCTGTCTCGCTGATCACACAGATATGCTGGAACAAAACAAAATAAAAAGCTCCTGTTAGAAAAGTAACGTAAGAGACGAACGTTTGACATCAATAACGAGCTCCCGAAAACAATACAAGTGTGCTGTTCACGTTTGTGTACAAAAGGATTTTGTGATACTGTTTATGCAGAAAAACTTAAGCCCTTTTTTGGTCCAAAAATCTCAACATTGCCTTCTTTCTCCTCCCTCTTATTGTCCCACCCAATGTCTGCTTGGTCTGGTGAGACCCAGATAAAGAATTAAGAACTTAAAACAGAAAGTGAGCCCTTTTTAACTTCTTCACAGGTCTCTCTAATTTACCTCTTACATAACTAAGCAAATGCACTTATTTGTTGTAGACATCTGGTAAGACAAGAAACTTCACATGAACTTCACATTATTTCCAAGCTGGCAGAGGTGCAGCCCCCATTGTGCATGCAGCAAAATAAATTTCACTTTCATAAAGGCCCCAAACACTGTCCTGCTGCTCCAGGACTTGCTCCCATCATTGCGTCACCAATGGAACAGACTGGAACATGATTGTTACAGAGGAGATTTCCCTTCCTTCCTCCTCCCTAGTTTTAAATGGACAAAAACATATGGGAAAAATTACTTACGTTCAAATCTCTAAAGTATTCATTGTAATCTAGGGCGTATCCCACAACAAATTTGTCTGGCACTTCAAATCCAACAACTGAAAAAGACCATAAGTCATCAGTGTGTTAGAAAGGAACTTCCTAGAGTTCACTATAGTCTTTTACAGAGGCAGTCTGGAATTTTATAGACATGTCAGCATTGTAACTCATTTTATTTCTTCCATTCAAGTACCCTCAGATTCATATTCGACCTAATTTAAAATTTTAACTTACTTTGTTGATTTATCAAACTAAAGGAAATTAAATAGCTGTTATTTATTGGTTCCCACACATCTGTGGGCTGCTAGTCTGCAAGAAATGAATGGAGACTCTTAAATCTATAGACAGAATATTATGAGTATAAAAATTTCCTCTAACTTTGTAAATATATACAAAAAGTGCCAATACTTCCTGACACTTCCTACACATTTGACACGCCTGTGCAGCAGCAGTGAACTGGTGAGCACAGCACAAGTCCCCCTCAGAGCACAGTTCAAAAGGCAGCACCCCTGGGAGCTGGACCTGCACCCCAGGCAAGGCTGCAGGAAGGGTCATTTGCAGGTTTCAGAAACGTGGGTTGGTTTGGGGTTTTTTTGTGTTTGGTTGTAATTTTTATCTCCCAGAGAAGCTGCCTAAAAAGAGAACGTCATATCTTCCATAGATTGTCTGAACAGCTCTAGCAGGACAGTTCATGGGTGGTCAGGCAGTCTCAGTCCAACCTGCCCACACACACCGTAAAACGGCCAAAATTAAATTATATACAAAATAAAACTTCCAAATGGCTTTCTCCCCACATGCCAAAATGAAAGACTCCTGAGGCTTTCCTAAATTAAGGTGACATTTAGCATTTACTTGGCCTCACAATACAGGGATGAAATGGAGGCCCAGCCATTGTTGTCTCTTCCCTCCGAGCTCACGTGTCCTGCACTGGACAGGTTGTCTCTGTGGACAGATGGCAAAACAAGTCATCTGCTGCAAGATGCTCCAAAGGCACCGTTAGCCCAGCTAAGCCTATAATGAGATCCCAGGAATGAGGGGTGTCCTTGACTGAGGGGAACACCTCAATGAAGCTTTGAGGTATCCAAACAACTTCAGTTCCACAATAATGTACAACCTTGGAAAGGAGGAGGACGAGGATGTGATTCTGCTGCTAAGTTCATTCCGCTTCCATAGTGAAAGTACATGGTCTAGACTAACAGGAATTTATCCTCCGGAACAGGGTTAAAGCACACAGCCCTTCCCAAGGCAGGAGGAGCTGTCACTCTCTTACCACTGTCTACTGTGGATACTATTCCTTCCTTAGTGGTCTTGGGACAGACAGGAAAATACAAGAAAGGAGTAATTCAGATGCCCAGACATAACCAGCCTTAACTTTTATCAGACCTGCTACCCTGTGTGGTCGTCCTACATTCCTGGGGACATCCAAACAGCATGAAGTGGCTACGTTTAGGCATCCAAACCACTCCCAAAAGTGTCAAAAGGTGAATCCAGCAGATTCTGCTGACCAAAGCATTTGACTACATGCAAGCTGGGAGAATTTGCACATGAAAAGCATGTAACCTAGACCAAAAATATCAAAGTCTGGTTTTCATAGTAAAATGATACAAATCCTGATGACCAAATCCTGATGAACTCTGTCAAAATACGTTCCAAATGTTTAAATTCCCTAAATAAAAGCAAAATCATTAGTGAAAACTTATTGGGAACATTGTTGAGCTTTGTCAATACACTGACATACTTACAAAAATGAATAATGGTTGTCAAAAAGTCACTTACAGTCTGGTCGATATCCAACACTTCGAGGAGTTCTTTTTACCAACAAACTGTCAAATAAAACCAATGTAAAACTTAAACATGGAAAAGCACCAGGTACAAACATATTATACTGTTTTGATGACAGACAAGCTGAAGTAGATCTAAATGTGCATAACTGACAGGATAACTACACATATTTTAAACTATTATTTTATTTGCAGGCACAGCTGATCATAATGACAAAATCACAACTTCCTAGAATCATGAATGATTTACAGCCTAAAGGATAACTAGCAGGTCTGCAAGGAAAAGGCTTGGAGATACTGACCTGGATGCATTTCCATGGTGAAAAGTGACTTAATGGGGTTTTATGTGCGTTAGGAACTTCAGGTGCCACTTAGCTTACAGGTGAAGAGGCAATTTGGGACGTGGCCAAGCCCAGCAAAAGCATTGGTATTATGAAGCAGAAGTTCAGCTGCTTAAATGCACCTCAACTGCACTTGCACAACTTGTCCTGAACTGTTTTTCACTGGAAGCACTAATTATCCCCATAAAAACAATGTAATTGGTTCTGATGATCACGGGACACAAACCTGCTCCACTTTCCAGAATTAACAGAGTTATAAAGAGCAGGGAGATACAGAGCAGGGGGCACTGTAGCAGAGAGAAATGCTTTGCTAGCATAGCTGGATTCCCTCTTTATTCAGTTGAGGATTTCTACCTTAGAAGACAATCCCACAGGTCTGACATTTGTCTGTCTGGGATACAGTGACTTTGGGAGCAAAAGAAAGGGTGGTTGATGGCAGAGATAAGCATAACTCTGTGCATTGAACATAGACCTCCTTCCCTCCTGGATCATCCCTGAAGGTGGGGCTTCATTTGCCAGAGTCCTAGTTTCTATTTTAGACAGTTGCTGAAACTTCCAATTGATAAACTTAACTTTTGAGAATTCGTGTAGGAATTGATCAGAGAAACCCCAAAATCATATTAGCGTTAATTCACATCTCCCTGCTAAAACTGCTTAATTGTCTGAGAGAAAGAAAACAAAAAAATTTATAAAAAAAACACAACCACTACCAACAAAAAACAAACAAACAAAAAAACTAACAAAGAGGAAAAGAAATAGAAGAGAGGCAAGTAAAGTAACTAAGAACTAAGACTATCTAGAACGATCATGTTGACCTCCTCAGGTCTTTGGTAGACCCAATTTACTGCAACAGGTTTAAACAACAGGAAACTGGACTTTGCTCATTCATATTATATTTATGATTTATGCTGTAGTGTTGCAACACTTTTCAGGGACAGATATTTATAATCTGGCCAGGGAGAAATCCTCAACAGCCTCACCTTCAGCAGGTCACCCCCAGATTATCAGCAAGAAGAGCTGTTCTCTCATCTAACAACTCCTTTGACATTGTTATGGCAACACGAGTGATTAGATATTACACCCAGCCCTGCTTTATCTCTAATCCCCAGCAATCATTACGCTTTTATTGGAAAATACACAAACAGCACAGCAGCGCAACAGATGCAATTTAAAAAGAAGTGGGAGGAATGTTGATATTGGTTAATAATATAATGTAATCCTCAATATTTCTTGTTGGCTGCAAATTATTTAATTATGAAATGTTTTGAAAACTAATTGATTAAAGCTGTAACTAAGTAGAAAAGCCCAGAAGAGCATATGGCTGGCTGACTCTCACAGAATCACCTCCAAAGCTCAGCTGCCCTATGCCCTCTACAAAAACACTAATACTAGTGTGCAAACTAATTTAATTCTACAATAAAGAAGGAAAACTAAAAAAAGGCCTTCAATGCACAAATACAGTGAAGTTGCAGATAGTGCCAGCAGAAACAAAAATCTTTGGAGAGACATTACATACAGGTCAGTGACAATCACTAATTATTTTTATCCTCCTTTCCAGTAAAAGTCTATCTTTACGAACTAAATTTGTGTTGATAATGCCTCTATCAACTTGAGAGAGTATTTCTTTTAAGCCCAAAAGACTGAAATTCTTCTAGCTACTTCTAAACTTGGACTTCAGCAGTAAAACCCCACAAACCTTACCATAATACGATCAGGCAAGAGATGTCCCAGGCATGCACAAGCTATCCCCTTCTGAAGCACTCAAATTCTTCCAGCAATAGGACTGAAAAGAACAGTGTTTCCAGCATCCCTAACAAATGCATGTTCACGTAACAAGCAAAAGTGGGTTTGGAGTTTAACTTAGTACTAAACTTCAACAGATTGCATCATATTTGACCCGTGCAGAAATGTTTCCTCCTGTTTCTCTTCCATGGAAATGTATTCTACAGATGTTTTTGTTTGTTGGTTTGGGGGTTTTTTTTACACTGTGTGTCCTTCTTAAGGTGAAAACCAGCACAAGTAATCATTAAGAATTTACCTGGCTACTTTCACCATCTTTGGATTGTACTGCTTAAGTAGAGACAGCAACGTTTTCATTGTTTTACCAGTATCAATTATATCCTGAAAAGAAAAAACTCATGTAAGACAGAATATTAAACACAACAGAGTAGCACTTTCAAGTTTCTACCACAGAAACTGCTCGTTCACAGGAACATGAAAATATGGCAAAATACTGCTTGTAAAAATGCCCATAAAAATGCTTGTAGCCAAATATAGGTGACATGTAACCCCTGCTGTGCTTACGCAACCACGCTGAGTAACGTGATCACACACAGGAGTTATTAATTAATAACGCAGAGGAGTTATTAATAACAGGAGTTCTTAATTGTTGGGGGTAACTATGGCTTTGAAAGCAGTTGCTGAACCAGCAGTTACTGCAATGACCTTGGCTCCTTCTGGAGCTTTTATGGCTTGTGGTCCTTGCAGCCATGAGACAATGCTTAATTTGAGTATGGTAAGAGTAATATTAGTCTTGCTGTTGAGCTCAGTTACAGACAGATGTATTCAACAGAAAGAAAAGCAAGAAGGGAAAACAGGCAGAACAACCCATTATTGCAATGGAAGGAATGTAATGCACATTACAGATTCAAGAAATAGCTGGAAAAATTGCACTGGGAATATCTGGGTGCAGTTTTAAAGTCTAAAACACACTAAAATTTTAATCACACAGCATTTTAATCCCATCCACTGCACATATAAGCAGAAAAAAGTAATATATGGCTTATAACTGAGGCATCGGAAATGGATTCCTCATTTGGACTGAAAGAGTCACAGGATCTTTTGAGGGACAGTCCTTACCCTGGCCTGAAATAAGTCTATTTGAAGTGAAGGAGACAGCACAGAAGCAGCAATATCCTGATTTCAGCTAATTTCCTCATGACTCCCAATTAAAACAAAAATCAAACAAACTCAACAGAGCATCCATCAGCAATACCATTAATGCTTTTTAATCATGGTTGTAAACTCAAGAGAACTTAAAGACATACATGCATATGGATAAAAATCAAAGCTGGTAAATAAACAGAAGTAGCTACTTCCAAACTCCAAGGGAAAAACAGAACCTATCACTGATTTCGTGGTGTGTGATTAGCTGTTTATTGGAGGTGAAGCTCTATTTTGTGCAGATTTTTTTTGACATTAAAAGGATGCAGTAGAGAAAAGCCTTGTGCTCTGGTGCACAAGACATTAAACCCACAATAAATGTGCATTTTTATTGTTTGACAGTTAAAGTGGTGATTGATAAAAGGGTTCATATTTGACAGTGTATATGACAAGTCACTGGATAGATGATTCACTGAGCAAAGGATAAACTAACCTAATCTGGGGCTTACATTCATCTGCAATGGAGCAGATACATAATTAAACATATCTGGCAATCTGAAGCAAAATATACTTCAAAGGACACCACCGGTCACACAATGACTGCTGTATCATACTATTTTGGTAGGAGTTTTGGAACTGAATGTGCTTCCTGTGGAATAATATAACCTTCTCAAATTAGGAAAATAGTACATAAAAAAAAAAAAACACATTTGATGAGAGGAAACATCCTTCCCTTTGGCTGCTGAGTCAGTTGCCATAGTTGTTTCTTTCCTTACAAACCTGCCATTGCCATTATTTGGAGACTTAACACACTATTAGATTGCACATCCACTTTTTCTGTCTAGTGCTGCTACTTCCCTACCCCGAAATTGTCAATTGTACTCAAGGAAAGTGATATTGGCTGAACATGAGCAATGCTGTTCATCAAGAAAGAGGTATGAAAGCAAGAATTAAACAACAATACCTACTAGGCAATCAAACTGGGCTGTACTGTACCTGGAACCATGACAAGACGGAGTAATGGGAATTTAGTAACTACAGAATGCTCATTAGGAATTAGTGTTCTCAATGTCACTATTCTCTAAATAAATTACTCACAGAGACACTGGGCTTAGATCTGTTTTTCACATATTTTAAGATACTCATACCAGGAACCTCTTTCTACCTCTGCAGTTTAGTTTCATAGCTTGGTATCATAAACCCAGGACAATAATACATGTCATATCACTTTGTTCAGGCTACTTTTTAAAAAAAAAAAAAAAAAAGAGGGGGGGAAAAGACCTTTTAGAATTGACTACATTCCAGAAAACTGAAAGGAAATGCAAACAGCTTTAGATGGTTGTTTTCCTTGTTAAATATAGCAGCTGAATGCAATTTGAGAATTCAAAACACAGCTTAGTTCAAAGACAGAGATCACTTGCAAAATTCAGGCCTGAAATCAGAAGCTGGAAGACTTGAAGCCAGAAACTGTAGGTTTTCTGGCTTAAGAACAACTTCTAATAGAACTCTTTAACCAGTGGCACATTAGAACTGCAAAGTGAAACACAATACTTACTTCTACGATCAAAACATTCTGGTAGGAAGAAAAAGGAAAAAAAAGGAAAAATCCATTAATATCTAGACATCATACAATTCCTTATTAATCTCTATAACTTATTAATTTTCAGTGCAGTTAAATATTTGTACCAACGTTTATGTATGTTTACACGTGTAGCAGCATATTCTTTGTAGTTAACATTTGTTATGCTTTAACAACAATTAGCTGAGATTCTCCTCAACAGCTCCTGCTGAGTAAAAAGTGGTCTTTAAATTATTCAGAGTTGGAAAATTCCAGATATATGCAAAAGAGATCAAAACAGAGTCTACACAATTCTAAAGCAAAAAGGGTGTCCTACTACACAGACAGGTACAGTTCTGTCATACTTACATCCTTCACACTGAACTGAGACATACATGTCTTAAAGATCACGTGTGTAAAGAGAAGGGGAAAGCACTGAGTTCTGACAGAGCAGGAGGCAGTGATGCTTTCACCCCTGACATGTGGCTCAATGATCTTCACTGAATCACTGGAGAAAAGCAGATTCCGAGTTTACATTCTCCCATTTCCTTCCCTTGTCACTGCCTGCCACAGGAACCACCAACACTTCACTGGAACACCAATATGGCAAATAAATAACACCAGTCTCTTGTAAAGGCCGTTTGCAGACAACAGCCCACACAAGATTCTTCTCGGGCATTGCAGAAAAACAAATCTAAGACTCCGCTGATACCAAAGACAGTGAATAGAGGATTTTTTTAAGTTTAGACTAAACTGATGGCTTTGATGGGGCTTATCCACTCTGGGGACACAGCGGTGAATATTTAAAGGAAACATTTCCATTTTTTAAACTCCATAATCTTCACACACCAAAAGAGCAGCCTTAAAATCATGCAGGTATGTGGGTTCTTTAGTGGGTTTGTTTGTTTGCTTACTTTTAAACATACAAAGAGTCATACCTTTCCAGTCAAGGTTGAGAGGTCATCTCCCCCAATGACTTTGATATCTCCAGTTGACTGATCATTCTAAGAAAGAGGAGGGTGAGCATTACCATTACCAGAATAAAACTAATTATTTCCTTGCAGTAAATGTCAAACTAATTTTTTTCCTGCAGCAAATGTCAAAATTGTAAAGCACATAACCAGTGAACGTTAATGCTTTCAGAAACAGCATCTCTCTATTAACTAAGAAATTACAAGTGATCAACTTCAAAGATGGTATTTCAGATTAAAGACTGTTTGACAAGAGATTTGCATCAATGCAGGCACCGTCTCTCATCTGTGACCATTATATATACATATGTATCTAAAAAGCTAGGATTCGCTATGCATTCCCTACAGATATGGAAATAGGACAAAAAGCAGTTTGTTTTCCAAGCTGCATGCTGCCATATAGCTGGTAATTTACATTTCAAACTTTAATGCCTTAGAAAGCCTTACTCTGAGTAAGAATAAGCAATCATAAGAATAGCCAGCAAACAAGGCACAGATTACTACTGAGAACTATAAGCTACAAAAATAGCCAGAAAAGCTTATGCTTGCCTAGTTTACAACACATATTGGTAACAGATCAAATTACTTCTTATAGCAATGGAACAGCAACACAGGTACACCATCACTACAACAGAGCATTTTGCTTCAGCAAAACTAAACTGTGATAAAAACGTAAATTAACTGTTACACAGGAAAGATAAAAACAGCTGCTAGAAGTGCTTCACAAATCTTTGCAGTTTAATAAAGTCACTCAACTGACTTTAAACCTTGACAGTGTCTCATGGGTCATATTATATGCCTATGCAGGTGCTGAGTTCCTGAGCAATAAAAGGGTGAAAAAACAGTTAAAGATTTCTGACACTGGTTGTAACCAGATTTCCACTGGCAAGAACTTTGTTTAATAATTAAGCAATGTTTTGACTATCTTCAGGAGCCTTATTTCCCAGTTCAGTACTGGTAAGACTTTAATGCTTTGTGGTTTAACACATAAGAGTTTGACTGTTGTACAGATCTAAAACTCACTGCCTCCCTGTTGTCACTGCTGGACAACAACAATGCTTTACAAGATCGTAACTCCTGACTCAAGTGACTCCAAGATCACCTTTTAAAAAGGCATTTTAAGTTCCAGCATCTGCTATAAGGCTTGGTTGGCAGAGACCTTTCAGAATACTGCTGTGACCAGCCTAACCAGAATCTACCACGTACTCCTCTGAAAATCCCTATTTTTCCAAGTGACAGCACAACACATCCACTGTCTTTTGGCTGCCCTTCATGACTATATAAGCAACATTTGCTCATTTCCATGTTTAAATGCAGTAGACTGGTGAAAAGCCATTCTTCCTGTAACACAAACAGAATGAACTGTTTGTCAAGAATACTGAGAGCTGGATCTGTTCACAAACACTATCTTTCCACTTCTTAACAGCTTGCCAGATCATTAAAATTCATCTGTAAGGACTCAGAAAACTGGAGTTACAAGCAAAGTTTAATCACAGCTTGATCGTGTCAGTATTCTTAGAGAATTATTTTTGGGTGCAGAACAGTATGAACTTTGCATTGCAACACAAAGAAAACCCCATATGCTTGTAAATATTAAATGATCAGTTTGAAACAAGAATAGAACCTCAATTACATCAATTACAGAACCATTACAAAAGTTCAGCTGCTTCATTTATACGACCAGGGTATTTTTAACATCTTTTATCCCATCTGTAGAGGCAGGCAGGATGATCTAGTAATCATAGCCAGAGACAGTGACAAGAGAGTTGAAAGCTCCACTTTCAACTGTCCATTAGAGCTTGTGATGGCTTTCACATCACTAAACACAAATCCATCCACCTAGTAAAGCAGAGGTCAAAACTACAGAGCAGGTTTAGCATTACAACACTATTTCTGATGGAAGACCCAGTCAAGCTGTTACATACATGTCCATGTTAGGACATTCTTATCCAGTCTAAAGGACCTAAGTTTGGATATTAATAACCACCTGAGAGAGTCTACAGAAACGAAATGCTCATAAATACTGTAGTGGAGGAATCAGGTAGCAGGAGCTCCTCACTCATCTAGAAGAAGAAAACATTCTTTTATAGAATTAGCTGACAAAACAAAAAACCCTGAAGCCAACACCTCAAGGAAAACATTCTGCTTAGATAACTTTCTGTCTGGTTTTCTCTGCTTCTCTCTTCATCTACATGTTTTTACTACAAAAAGAGGCTTTTAATTTCCATAAAACTTACTTGGTTGCTCACTCCCCTATTAATAATAAGGCACTGTAGTTCTGGGGGGGTAATAAACAAAAGCAGCTGTAGTAAAGAAATAAACTGAAACATGCCTGAAACACCAGTAAAAAGGCAGCCTTGCTTTTTAACAGAGGCTTTTTTTCAGGTGTTTCAAACCATTTCTCCAATATTTTTTTTCCAAGTTAGAAAGTAGAGAGTGTAAAAGGGTGTAGTCTTTACATTGTTTTTTTTTAACAAGCTAATTAAGCTATTGGAAGTGTTCCTTGGAGAAAGCAGAGGATATATACAACTGCCTGTCCCAGGGTTACAAAAAAAAAAAAAAAAAAAAAAAAGTGGGAACCATCATTTCCTATTCTTTAACCTATTATCCTGTAATAGAGTTTTCTGTGTTTTTTACAGGCAGAATATATGGGCATGTGGGGGCTTCACAGTTAAGCAGACTATTGGCAGAAGCCTCCTCTTTTGGGAGGAACTGAAGGAAAAAGGCTCAGATTGCTCTCTGTCACTGATTTTAATACAGTGCCCAAGCACAAAGTGCCTTGTGAGATATAACCAAAGGCTGGTACAAACCCTTCTGCCCAGCCTTGCCTTCTCATTAAAGTACATAACTACATTACTGCCTCACGTTCTGCAAATGTGACTGTGGTCTCCAGGTAAGCCCTGGACAGGCAGTGTGGCGTGTGTGCCTCGGGCAGCTGAGGCTGCTGGTCTGCACAGACTGGGCCAAAGCCCCACACAGTTCTGGGCTTTGCTGTGACACATTAATAGATCACAATATCTCCATCTCTGGCTTCCACAGTTTAATGAAACAAAGGATGAGGAGGAGTTTCCAAGTCAGTTATCTCCATTTTCTAATGCTTTCTGCACTCATCTGCAACTGCAAGAAGTAAGCCACAGTGCTGACTTCAATGCCAGAACTAACAGCATAATCCTGTGAAACAATGTATTGAGACACCCTAACTAAAACCAAAAATATCATTGATTCCATGCTACAGGTGGTCTTAGGGAACAAATCATAAATTTCTGAAATCCCAAAAACATGAGACTTGGCTGTCAGAAAGTCAGGAATCATACAGTGCTGCCATACACCTGCTTCCTCCTCTGACCTGCACAATATAACCTTGTGCTTCCTTCGATAAAACTTACATGTTACCTCATGTTACAGAGTGTTCACTTTTCCTATAAAGTTGTGTTCAGAATTAAAACTCTCCCAAAAAATGTAAACCCAAGGCAACCCAAGATGCCTAGTCTTGAAAAGGTGGTACAATATTCAGGGGCCACTAATCATAATTCTAAGTTTATGTCTCCAGTATTTCTTCAAGGTCAAATACAACTAATTCGACTCATCATTTGATTGAGCCAAACAAAAATGAGATAGAGAACTTCGGTGTAACAGTATTTGCAGCTTTCAAATCATCCTGCTCAACAGTGAGGTCTGGTCCACATAATTCCTAGAACTAAATTTTTGTAATCATAGTTGCAGGAAAATCCTCTGCATTAGTCTTGAGCCTCAGTTTTAGAGATAGAGTAGAGGGCGGAGAGGAAATTGTAAAGGGAAACACATAATGGGACTCTCTACTCTGCATAAGGATTTTACTGTGCTGAGGAGATACCGAGGTCTAAAAGAAAACATTATATAATAAGGTAGAGAAAGAGTAAATTAGCTTGTGACTCTTAGTTCGCTTGATTATTTGTTTAATATTAGCACATTCTGGAAGTAACAATATTAAACCACCTCTGTAAATTTGTAGTCAAACAAATAAAAATTGCACAGCACTGCACAGATACTTACACAGTAACTCTTCAACCTAATGAAGTCGACAGTCATGGGGATTGATTTGTCACTGTTTCTGTTCAGGGCTTTGATGTAGTCTAATAAATCAGCAAAAAATTTATAGCCCCCCTTCAGTACGCAGAGAGCCACAATGTGGTGTCCTCCCATGCCCTTCATAATTTCTCGTGCCAGTCTTTCCGTCCTAAACAAAACCAAGGAAGAGTGAGCTGTCAAAACATTTCATCTGTTTACCATAGCAGCAGCGTTTTGTACTGTGAACAGCAGCAAACACATGCACCAAACTTGGAACAATGTTTGCTCAGAAATATTTGTCTACCACTTCAGTCACTTTCACACGTTACTGGTCAACTAAGTTTTGCTGCTCAAGGTTAATCCAACAAAAGTGCTGCCAAATGACCTTGTTTTCATACGTCACGCTCAGCCAAAGCAAATTTTAACACCCTGAAACTGTTTGGCTGTCAGATATGAGACACAAAGGTGTGTTTCTCCTTCCAAAGACAGGTTCAGTTTCTATGCAAAGAGCAACGTAACACAAGCCAAAAGGCAGCACCCCTTGCTAACCGAGGAGCAAGAAAAGTTTCAAACTGTAAACTAAAGAGTTTATTTGCCAAGTCAGAATGCCAGAAACTTGTCCTGAATGCAGAATACAATACCAACACTGCAGAGCAAGAGAAAGCTGCACCGTTTTTCTGCAATCATTGTTTCTAAATTTATCTTGCAATTTATTTTAGAAAGCATGGTCTGCATTTATTGTGTGCCAGCTGACAGCAGGTTTCTCAGAGAAAGCCAATCATTATAAACTTTACGTCAATTCCTTAATGGCAAGTACTTTGTCCAATTTTTTGCTCTGTGTGGACTTCCAGTACAAAGTTTTTACAATATATAAAAATAAACTTTTTAAAAGGGATGTTCATTGTATCTAGTCAAACAGGACCATGCAAAATCTAGATGCATTCCTAGTCACAAGATCTCCGAGAAGATCCAACCAGCACCATTCATAAACGGCTTAAATTCACCAAATTTGTTGTTCATTCTCTTAAAGGGAATTAGCAACTATCAAACATAAAATAAAACAAAAATGCCATGTAGGCTTATGCACTAATTCCTGATCACATAAGCTAAAACTTCCAAAGCACATCACAGATTTCAGCAACCACAGAAGCAACAGATCTATATTTGTGGAGGATAATGTCTTTCCCAGAAGGCAGAAGACAGCTGGATGTTATTTACCTACCACATGAACATGAGAAAGTTTAAGATAGTGAGATTAATAATTTACTTTTATTAATATCTTATGGAAATTCAAGAGACTACAATTGTTTTCAGACTCAACTGGTACAACAAAATGTCTTCTAATTACTTTTTAAGAGGGTAAAACATCAAAGGAACACTGGAAAGAAAGTTATAGGTTGCTACCTACCACAACATTTTGCTTGAGAATTATGACCAATTTTCAAACAATAGCATGACTGCAAATGTACAAACTCTTAGAAGCCAAAAAAAGAGTGTTAATTAGCACTTATACATTCTATCTCTAGTTAAATGTAATCTATTTAGACAGTCACCAGGCAGCAAAATTATCACTGGAAGATTGTTTGCTCCTGCGTCATGAATCAGTGTACTGTCTGAGGTCAAACAAACCTGTCCATGATGAGCCCATGAGGAATATAGACTTTTTCCAAATCGTCTGCATAATGTTTAGGTATGCAGAACAAGTCCAGGTCGTAGCCTTGTTCATCATCACCAATCTGAAAAGGAAATAAGATGAGATTTCTAAAGAGCCTTATATAAGGTCCGTGGTGAGACTTTGTGTTATTCAGTATAAACTATCAAACCCACGACGCTCATCAGAACCACCTTACTTTGCCTCTCTGAAAACATCAGTCACACTGGACACACACACAGTGTAATCTAACAGTTCTCAAGGGTTACTTGAAATACCACGAGTTGTTAAGCAATGCCCAAGTCCTACAACATCCTTCTCCAACGGAGGGCAGGAAAGTGAAGGTACTTCACCTGAATGAAGTTCTATATTCCATTAAAAAAATGAACAAGGAGCTTTATAACCTCTTTGATTTTCCTAATGTAATGCAAAACCTGCATTTGCAATTAAGGAAGCAGAGATTCTAACATGGACACCTTCCAAATCTCCACAACACCAGATCACAACAAAACACTTGACCCAGTGTTCGGGACAAGACAAGACAGCTACATGAGTGCAGCACCTCTCTCACCACCAAAACGGGGAGGTACAAGATCTTTCAGAATCTGAAATTAAAGCCTTCAGCAACCTGTTCCACATGGACAAACTACCTGTATGAAACAGCCTGCAATATTGGCAAGTGCATATTAATTAGGAGAAGGGATCAGCAAATGATAATAATGATATCAAACACTGCTGAGGTTCAGGTCACATTGTCGCATCAAGCAGAGCCTTCCCTGAACCTTAACCCTGCTGCAGCTTCAAAATGACAATGTGTTTTTTTAATTACTTCACTCTCTGGTTATGCAGCTGAACGCTACTACGCGAAAAAGAACTTCAGAGGGAAAAGAGAAGCTTGTCACTGACAGTTCACCAGGGTGGTACCGCTGCTCTTGCAGGACTCAATCTTATTTCACTGCCCGTGCAAGCACTTAACCTGGCCAGGGATCAGCCAACTGGGGGGGTTTTACAGGGGGTTTTTGTTGTATAACCCCTACTGAGTATTTTACCTGGGGACCCATCCGAAACTGACCCTGTGTCAGCACACACACACACACGCGGCTCGGGCATGGAGTCCCTGCTCTGTGTCCCTGCAGACCACACAGGTTGCTATTTTAAGAAATAAAGCAGGTCCCTCCCAAAACTCACGGTATTTTCCTGTGGTTCAGAACCAATGTTATGTCGAGCGTGTCTACTAAACCTTCCTTTCTGCATCTGACAGGGAGTGGGCCCTTCCTACAGGTTTTATCAGGGTTTTTTTTCATGGACTGCAGGGATTTACAGTCGCAACCTCGCGGCCGGCACAGCTCCCGGTCATCAGACACCGCACGCACTTCATCAGCACCGGCACCGGCTTTAAAAAGATTAATAAAAATGAGCACGTAAGCGCCTTAGCAGATGCAGCGATAACGCAGAAATATAAAGAACATCCCCCGGATGCTGCTCCTCCGGCAGCAGCCCCGACTCACACACACGTGGGGTTCTCCCGACCGGAGCCTCCCGCACGCCGCGAACAGCAACAGGAATAGGAAGTTGTGCAGCGCTGGGGGAAGTTCATCCACCTTCGCTACGGAGGCGCCAGCGCCGGCTGTGCCCGCCGGCCCCGGGCTCCGGATCCCCGGGATGCCACCCCGAGGGACCCGCGGCCCCCGCCGGGAAGGGACGCGCCCGGCCCGGGGCAGCGAGGGCAGGGACGGGCAGCCCCGGGCCCGGCGCAGGGAGGGAGGCCGGGGCTGCCCTCAAGGTGACTCCGCGGGGCGGCGGCGCTAAGGGACGCGACTCACGACCCACGACACGACAGCACGAGACACAACACACCCCACGGCGCGGCACCCCCCGCGGCCCCTCACAGATCTCCGCGTTTCGGGCGGCAGGCGGGACCCCCCATCGTCGGCCGGCGGGGCACAGCGGCCCCCGGCACCGCCCGGCACCGCCCGTCCCGCCGCACTCACCACGATGCAGGGGCTGGGGTTCGCCATGGAGCGCGGCCCCGCCGGCGGCGGCTGCGGGCGGCTCGGAGCGGCGGCGACAGCGGCGGCTCGGAGCGCTGGCAGCGGGCAGGGGGAGCGGGAGGCGCCGCACCCGCAGCGGCCCCGGCGCCGCCTCCGCGCCCTCCGCGCTCCCCGCCCTCAACATGGCCGCGGTGCCGCCGCCGCCCTCAGCGCGGCCGTGTGCCGGCCCTGCTGCCCCGCGGGACAGCGGGAGAGGGGGGATCCCTCCCCGGAGCGGAGCCCTCGGCGGGGCTGTGCCCATCCCAGCCGGGTGCGGGTGTCCCCCGCGCTATCCCACATCCCCTCTCCAGGGTCTTCAGAGTCGGCCCTCCCCTCCACACACCGCGATGTCGGGGTGTCGTTCCCCGGCCCCACGGGACACTATGGGAGGGTGTCAGTGTCCAGTTCTGGGCCCCTCAATTCGGGAAGGACATTGAGGTGCTGGAGCGGGTCCAGAGAAGGGCAACGGAGCTGGTGAAGGGGCTGGAGCACAAATGTGATGAGGAGCAGCCGAAGGAGCTGGGGGTGTTTAGCCTGGAGGAGGCTCAGGGGGGACCCTACAACTCTCTAACAGGAGGGTGCAGCCAGGTGGGGGTCAGGCTCTTCTCCCAGGCAACTAGCGATAAGACAAAGGGACACAGTCTTAACCTGCGCCAGGGGTGGGCATCAGGAAGAATTTCTTCACAGAAAGGGTGATTAGACATTGGAATGGGCTGCCCGGGGAGGTGGTGGAGTGACTGTCCCTGAAGGTGTTTAGGAAAAGACCACTTGGAGCCCTGGTCTAGTTGACACTGTGGGGTTTGGTCATAGGTTGGACTTGATCATCTCAGAGGTCTTTTCCAACCTAACTGCTTCTGTGATTCTGTGATTCCCATGCGAATGGAACAGGGCAGGTAACTCCTGTTATTCCAGAACCAAGGACAGGGATGTGCATCCCTCGGGTGTTCGGGTCCATGGAGGGGCTCCACAGATAGACCCCCCATGCCCAGCAGGAACACTCCTCTCCTGCCAAGTGCTGCCCAGGCTCCTCTACATCACCAGGGAAGGTCCATCCTCCACTGCAGCTTTATGAACCTTCAAAGAGGTCCCATCAACGGGAATGTTTGCATTCCTCCATGTCTTCCTGTGAATCACAGGATTTGGTAGGGTCACATTCTCTCCAAGCAGAAGAAATCCAGCCCCCCAGCACAGGTACCTGAGGGCATGAGGAAAGTACCTCTAAATACCCAACAGACCATGGCACTGGTGGGCTCTGGGGTGTTGGGGCAGTGCCAGCTGTCAGGGCCCCGGGCAGGGCAGGGCTCTCAAATAAGCTGGCAGTGTTGTGTCAGGACAGTTGTGATAACCAAATCTCATGCTCCAGGCCTCTAGCAGCTGATCATTTGCCAGGGTCAAATATACAGAACTAATATACTGTGGGATTTTTCTCCTCCGCTTCCCTTTGCAGCGTTAGTGTGCTCACAGCACGTGGCTCTGACACGGTGCAGGGAACCCTTTGCAAAGGCCACTCCACATCTGACAGGGCAGGGAACTGACTTAAAAGTGAGCCTCAGTTGGTGACAGCTGTGCCTTTTGACCAGGCAAAGATGATGACAGGTGCCACTTTCCCACACACAATGGGACCTCCCTGCATGGGGTGGGTAGAAGATGCATTTTCCATTTGCTATAAGACTAGGCTGAACTGTGCCTGTAGATGCTGTCCATATCTATAAATGTCTGAGTGAAAAATCGGATCCTGAGGTAAAACAATAGGAAAGCATGGAAAGGCCTGGATAATTCCAGTGGTCTCAAATGGCAGGAAAAAAAAAAAGCATTGACTTTTCCTGTAGGTCTGGAGTAAGGACACAACAGTGCAAATAGAAATTCATGGTTTCTTATATATGTATCAGCTGAAGACTTTCCCCTTCTTTTTCTAAGGGATGGAAACCAAGTTCTTTTTTATGCTGCATAAAATCTTGGTGTCAAGAAAAGGATAGTGATTCTTAAAAATAACTTTATTTATAGAGAGCTGTAGCAATCACCCTGATACATACCAAGCATTATTGCTGTCGGCTCAGAAAACACAATGCAGTCAATTTAATTGCTGCTTTGTATGAAACAATTTAAGCAAATTTCAGCTAAGCAAACGGGAATGATCCCTACTGAATGCTGCACTGTTGCAGCAAGGTCTTCAGCTACAGTCTGGGAGGGTTAATTCTGGAGTGGGAGGATGAAGACTTTATCAAATTGCCCGGAGCAGCAGAATGAAGCACGCCCTGCAGCTCAGGGATATCAGGAACGTGTCATAGCTGGATTATTTCCAGAAGGCCAGGAAGAGCAGCAGCTGCCCTGTCAAGTCCAGGGAGAGCCTGACATTAGTGGGCAGTGGGCAGTATCCATCGAGAGACTCTGCAACCACAGAAGTGTTTCAGGATGCAATTTTATTTTAGTTACTAAAGACATTTCTCATTAATGACCAATATCAATTTCTGCTATTAAAAGTAGCATCCAACAGCACCTTTCTGATGGCAGGGATGAGCTGCTGGCTTGACTTCTGCGCAGTTTCTCCCCAGCAGACAAAACCATTAGTCCTGTTTTGCCCTTCTGAGTGAGCAATTTTTTTGTTCCTCCTGCCAAACAGCACATTCCTGGATCCAAAGCATTCCTGGTCCTGCTGGCACCCCGTTATGGAGGGAAAAACAGATTTACAAAAGCAGAAATATTTGCTGATATTACAGGAAGCTGGTTAGCTGAGATCAGCACCAGATTTAGTAGATGACCAGTTTGGTTCTTGCTGGTACAGGCCACTGAGGTTTGCAGTGCAGGGTGAGGGGGCTCAGAGGCATCTGGGAGCTGTACATTTTCTGGCTAGATGACACACAAGGTGGGAAAGCCAGTGTTTTGATTTCTCTGGTATGCACAGCTTCTTGCAAGGCAAAATAATTTAATAAATGTGTTTTGTGTCTGAGTAGATTCTTGATTTCATAATTATTTTCTTCTCTGTTGCCAGCCAGGCATATCTCAGTGCTCAGGCCCAGTGAACCATGGCCTGTGTGAGCACCAGTTGTAAATAACTTTGTTAACAGACTTTTAAAAACCTTTTTTGGTAACCACATGCTCCCCTCACCAGTGGTGGGGTACCTGAAGGCAATAACTGAGCAGTCGTTCTTTGGAGGCATCTGAAATAGTGTTCTCTGGGTCAGCTCTTCAGGTCAGTGCCCATTCACCAATCCCCCTCTTCCCCCTGTTTTTCCCTCCCAGCTTTGCCATTGTTGCTGGGTGACTCACAGGGAATTAGCAGAATGTATCTGCTGGTTTTGTTTTACAAAACAAGTCTTCTAAAAAAGCAAAGAGCGCAAAAAATTTTCAGCAGATTAACTACTGAGACCAGCATAACTCCCTTGTGACCAGAAATTTGTCTGTGCAGACAGAACAGGGAAAAATGG